AAGTACCTCTGCCAGTGTTGGGAAATTAGGGAAAACTGCCAGTTTTCCAATTTTCCCTGCAGAGTTCGGACGCCAGGGAGGGTCGGCAAACGATGGAGGCTTTCATTAACAAGCATTACGCCACCATCTGGGTCCCTCCAGGCTATAGGTGGCCCATTGGGTAGCGGACAAGGAACAGGGTCGTTTTTTTTTTGTCCTTTTTTTTTTTTTTTTTTTTTTTTTTTTTTTTTTTTGAGACAATGCTCCAACACGGCGAGCTACCAGGGCCATTACCCGGTTTCAGCTAAGAACAATTGAAGAAAAGAAAGAAGTCAGAAACATTCATGGCCCACTACTCACACTCTACCAAGTCACTAGAATATGTGTGTCAAAAAGCCTCCCAACCACGAATCAGATAGGTGAAACCTATTCAATCCACCTACGACTACCACCAGCATGGCTGTTTTCAGCATGAACCGAAGCTCTTCCAGGCCTCATGCTCCCATCAGCCTAGGTTGCACCACCTTGCCCCAGCACCGACCAGCATTGCTCCAGTTACGACCCCCGATGACCACAGAGATTGCCCCCACAAACAGCCCCCCAGATCTCTCTACCAGGCCTCACGCCCCCACTAAGCTAGGTCACAGAGTTGTGCCACCTGACTCCGGCTCCGGCCAGCGTTGCTCCAGCGTCGGTCTTTGAGGGCGACCAAATTTTCGACCACCCTTCGTGGGATCATAGATGACTTGCCAGATAGCACCTATTCCTACAACCTCCTCGAGAGGCAAACCAAATGGAAAAAAGCACTAAACTGGATGTTAGGATTCTTCGAGAGAGATCACACCTCCTTCTCCCTACCCCTCCCCCCTCAGCCCTACACTGCCTCCGCTGAGGCGAGCCTCCCGCTCTCCCTCGGCCCCAGTATATGACCAACCCTCTGCCCCCCTTTCCCCAGGGGCACGCGGTTCCCACCTAAAGCATGCCCCCCTGCCCCTTGCCCATTTCTGCCTCCGCTGGGACTGATGTTGATCCACACACCAGCCCCTGCCGCAGAATAGGGCAACCCCCTACTCCACCCTACCCTCTTTGAGACATTCACCCCCCACCTTGTGATGCCCCTGCAAGATAGAGCTCCCCCCTCCCCCTTCTTGCTGTTCAGCCCTACTGGAACAATCCAATCCAGCCAACTACAGTCATTGCTGACACACTTAAACCACCGGTCCCCCCGCCACCGAAAACCCCTAGTCCCTGTGAGTTAGGGGCGGTTTTTTTGGCAGGTAGCCGCCCACAACTCACTAACTCACCGATCTCCCAAAGTCCCAGGCAACTCAACGAAGGCCCCATGCTGGAGAGGGCGGACGACGGCGGACTGCATCGATGGCCGTCGAGACGTATGGGTGGTCCAGTGTTTGAC